CCCACACACACACACACAAATGAGCCATTTTTAAGATATCAAAGTAGAAATGTTCATGCTCCAGCAAGTAAGGAACACGTTTGAAAGCTGTTATAATGTTGCATCAATTTGCCTCTGAAGTATTGCACCCTCGTGCTAGCCTTTGACCACTGGGTGTCATCCAAGCAATAAAAATGCCAAAAGGAACATAAGGTACTCCATGCTGCATGACTCACACTGCTGGGCTAGTGTGGAAACCTTGGCCTGTGTTATCGGTTGTGTAATGAGTTAGGAATGAAATCTTCTCGAGCTGGACTTGACAAAGCCCACCCTCTAACTGTCGCGTAACGTGAGCACCACTAAACGCGATCGGTGTATCGGCAAAAACTCAGCTTTATTAAAAATATATATTTTTTGAAATAGTGCACCGCGTAGATATCAAAAGCTAACGCTTGATCTGAATTGTTTGGATTTGTACTGTAAGGTGGTCTCTCTGGGGCCATACGACCCCCCCCCTACACACACACACACACACACACACACACACACACACACACACACACACCTCCCCTCGGTGAAATGTATGGAAGCACTGCGGCACACTGCGTGTATTCTGCAGGCTGCATGGCTGTCTGGCTCTGCGTTCAAAGGGAGAGCGGAAGATAGGAGGAGGGGAATGACTACACCAAGAGGGTAGGAGGAGGAGGGAGGACAGTTTCCTTTCTGTAACACACACGCCACAAGATCGCACCGGGAAAACGGGGAGAGGAAAGAAAATTATAGGCGAGAGAGAGAAGAAGGAAACACCGCAGCCCCTCGGTCCGTTTGGTTGTGTCGGTTTTTTTAAAAGGGGGGGGGGGAGAAGTCGTGTTTTCTTTTTAACGCAGACTCGCGGACTAACATGGGGGAAAGAGAGAGCTCCTGAGGCGGATTGACTTTCAGTGAACCTCTGCTCTGTGGTACAAGGCTAATAGAGGGGGAAAGGGAAGACATGTTGAGGGTTTTTTTCGTCTTGAGGTTGCGGTAGGATGTTGATGTTGCGCTCCTAAATACAATAAAAAATACACACAAAACCAGACGGTTCTTCGCGGAGAGGAAAAAAACCGAGGGCAAATGGACATTTGGCGGTAGGTTGTGCTCAGGAGCTATTGTTTTGATCGGTGTTTATTTAATTGGTTTGTTATGATCTGAAATAACGTAGGCCTCTTGGGCAGACCTGCAGTAGGCTGAATAAATCCACGGTCAGCAAACAGGGGCTACATTAGCTGGAAAGCACCCTTGTGATTTAAGGGGGCTTTTTTTTAAGGCCACTGTGTTTTGTAGTGAGGTAAAAGCAGTGTTTATTAGCTCCTTGTTTTTTTGTTTATTTCTTAAGCCAGAGAGCCAAAACATTTCCAGGTAGATCAACTCTTCAGGGGGGTCTTACAAAGGCCCAGCAGAATATACAGTAAAGGCTTCTTTGCGACATCAAAAGATCATTTTTAACTGCGGAGGAAAATCGTCCACAGGCTGGCTTTAAGCACAAAAGGTGCACGCGAGTAGGTAGTCTATCCTCCTCCAGTTTAGCTCAAGACAGGGGACAAAAGAAGATTTTTAAATGTTAATGTCGACCGACGTTGCATCCATCATGCTGCCTGTGTCCCGGGGTCTCATGGACCGGGATAGAGAGCTGGACCCCATGGCCGGGGTGCACCCCAACAACGGCGGCGCTCCGGCGGTCGTCCGGGGCATGAAGCGCGGAGACCCGGAGCCCGACGGACAGGCGGCGGCCGTTCTGGTGGACTCGACCGGGGCGGAGTGCAAGCGTCCCCGGATCGACGGCTCAGGAGGGATCGGTGAGATTGGCCAGGTGAGGAGGCGACTCTTTTGTTCAAAAACAGCAATGCAGGCACGACTGCTCGGGCTAAACACAAACGTGGTGCAAGGATCTCTGGGTGTTTTTTTTTTTTTTTGCACGGTGGCATTATTTAAACGACTGTATTAATAAATAATCCGTATTCTGTTGCGTTTGTAATCCGTTCACATGTCGAAGTCGTAGTTGCAGACGTAGCAGAAAGGCCCCCAATGCTCCACCATAGACTCTGCTCAGTCCATTAGCAGCACTGCAGGACATACCACCACGTTTCACAGCTGTTAATGACTACGCGCTGTTAATTCACTTTTACAAGGGGGGTGCAATAGTAAGCGTGTCATTTCACGGTGTCCACTGGGCTGCTTCAGCTACAATGTAGCATTGCAGCTGCTACATGGCAGCTCAAGCATTTCCCCAAGGTCTGAGGAGGAATTGCATTAGTTCAATATGTATCCATCAATCCACTGGGTTGTCACATTGCAACAAGCTATCAAAACTTCTAAAAAGAGCTTTTATTTTATGAATTTCAGTAAAGCCCAGACAGGTTCTCGACTGAGGCTGGAGAATGTAAACAAACTTGACCTTTTTATTATGCAAAAAAAAAAACTCAGCCATGTGGCCAAATGGCGTGGGCAGCATTTGGTTTAGAATGGAAATTGATGTCAGTGTTTGCTTGTGTGATCTTTGAGGAAGGGGAGCGGACTCAAGGGGAGGTATTTGAGGTAAACAAAGGCCTCCGGTTTTATTGGGGGAGGGGGCAGTTTAATCACACCAATTACCTCTTGATTTTCAGACCCCTGCTTTTATCAACGCCACCGCTGCAGTGTTTGGCCCCGCATTCTCTGCTTGAATCAGCACATGTGCTAGACTCCCTTAACCTATTTTCTTCCAATGTCAGTAAAATCAATTTGAACCCCCCGGTGACCCCAAAATGGTCAAATGTTTCTTAATAGAGCAGCACAAGACGGCAGGAGGATGTTCTGGTCACCATTATAGTGTATTATGTAGGGGGAGGCACTCCAATTGAGGGGGGGGGGGGGAGCAATTTCTCCGCCATTGGAAGCGCCAGTAATGGAGGTGAAGTGGGGCTGTTTGCTCCTGTTTGGAAAACTTAATGGCTGGCTCCACATCGTTATGCCATCCGTGAGTGCTGACAGACAGGCTTAGGAACGTAATGCACTTAAAAACAGATGTGAGTGGAAGAGTGTATGTGTGTTTGTGTTGGTGTGAGAGAGAGAGAGAGATGCACAGATCAATAGCTTCAGCCCCTAAAACGTATTGAGTGTGAGCTAGCTGGTCAGTCCGGAAATGAGAGTGGGAGAGGTGCCTCCCTCCCCCTCCCTCTCTCTCTCAGCTGGTGCAGGAACAGATTTGCCCTATCACTGGCAGTAAAGAGGCTTTGTTTCCAGCTAATGGGATCACAGCTCATACTGGAGGGGGCATTATAACCACACTGATCCTGAGATCCTTATCTAAGGCAAAGGGGTTTACACACAGATGCAGACACATACGTTGGCGTGAACCACACGGAGATTATTTTCATACTCGACTAATTAAACTAAACCAATTTTTTATCAAGCGAAAATATATGCTGCTTACAGCCTCTCAAATAGAATGATTTCCTGTTTTCTCTGTTATTTTATTGTAGATGGCATGTGTTTGAGTTCTGAACAGTTGGTCGGACAAAATAAGACATTTTATGACATCACCGTGGGCTTTAGGGATTCGTGACCAGCCTTTTTCACTGTTAATAATGTATTATTGATGATTAGTCAAGAAGATGTCCCCGTGGACATTGAGAAACTTTGATGGACATTGTATAGACTAAATGATTTATTGAGATGAAGTGTGTATGTGTGTATATATATGTGTGTATGTGTGTATATGTATGTGTGTATATATATGTATGTATGTGTGTATATATATG